CAAGAGAACTCACCGTCTCAAAGAGCTCAAATCGTTTCAAACTGGATTCCTAAGCATGTGAGCGGGTTCATTTTACTCCAGTGGCCTATGCTTTAACCATATCTTAATCCATTACTGTACCTTTGGGATGCGGAATGGCGGATTAGTATTACTGATGTTCAGCTAATAAATCTGAAGCCCCTTTGCTTCACTATCTAAGGTTTCACTATCTCTATCTAAGGCTGTTTCCAAAACCCTGAAATGATTTCCTGAGGGAAAAGTTAAGGTTTTGAATTTGTCAGAACCAGAAACTTACAGGGACTGTTTAGGGTTAAGGTTTGATAAAAAGATGTAATATAATCTGACAGTGTTGGAGACTGGATTGGAAGAGTGAACAAATGTTGCCAGGACAAGATGTGGCATGCTGATTCACCCTCACAGAAGAAGACTGAATGCTGAGTCTGGACCAGTTATAAAACCAGGTCACTGCAGCTTTTACTACCTTTTTCCCCTCTATTGTTTGAATTTAATAGAGCAAAAAAAAAAAAAAGTCTTAGAAAAAAAGGTCAAATGATTTATAAAGATTTGAAATAATCTATGATGGCTCTATATTGTCCCATTACAGAAACATTTTAACACGAATTAGACTTTTGAGAGCCACAATACATTCCGAAATGTACTGAACTTTAACAGAGCATATATTATGTGACTTTAATAACCACTACAGTGATTATTTAGTATCTTGTAATCTTTTAAATGAAATCTTAATGTACTTCTTTTCTTATTTAACAATGAAAACCTTGGATTAAATGCAATGGGGAATTTTACTGGAGCATATAAGATATATCCTGGGGCATGTACCATAAAATGGATCTACCTCCGTCCAGGACTTGTTTCGAAGGCTGTGTAGGAAAAGCACACTGAGCAGAGACTCCTCACTCTGTTAAAGTTTTGAACAGCAGTCATCAGAAGTATACAGCTAAATCAAAAGCAGAAGCAAAGTAGTTGAACATCTTAGTGCCTTAAGCTGTTATAATTTGAGCTCCAGCTGAGATTATGAATTTATTTCATTGCACTTAATTTGTGCAATTTAAGTTTGTTGTCATTTAAGTTTTACTTAATGGATTTATTGCAAAGTGACTTTTTTCTGTTTTATTAAATGACAAAAAGATGAATAAGTTTTAAAACATGTTGCTTTTTTTTAAGAGTTACATTTTGTGTAAATCCCTTTATTTTCCCTCTGCATTTAACCCAACCCCTTGGGGAGCAGTGGGCTGCCACTGTTGGCGCCTGGAGAGCAGTATGGGGTTAAGGGTCTTGCTTAAGGACCCAGAGCGGCAGTCTGTGGAAATGAGTGGGACTATAGCTCAGAACCTCTAACCCAAATGCAATGCTCTAACCACTAGAAGTGGTCATAACTCCCCAGATTTTATCATTTGTACTTGTACCATTGTATTCCAGTTGTATTTAGTCATTTTTGGTTTTAGCTAAAATTCTCTGTGTCCTTTGCTCTTTTCTTAGAAATGTTGCAGTGTTTTGCATATTGTTTCTGAGTGTTGTCTATTAGACATACTGGTTCTGATTTTAAAACCAAATCATTAAGGCTTTGAGCTTTTTCCAAATGGCATGAGTAAATGTTATCCTCCCTTTTTCACTGCTTTTGTTAAAAGTTGTAAGCACTCAACATATTGGGATTGTATCATCCCCTGCTTTCTGGCAGGATTTGAATAAAACTGATACATTCCTGTGATGCAGTGAGTAAAAGAGTGTGAAAAAAGAGTGAACACTGCAGTAATTGTTTTGCCACCCTTGGCTTTGACAGCTTCAGCTGAATCTCTACTCCAGTTTGAAACAAAAAATAATCTTTAAAATGCAGGGATTTTTTTCCTTTGAGGCCATTGGGCTAGGATAAGTGACGGATACCCTTGCTGACAGTCTCTTCAATAAAGGATTAGGCTATTATCTCCCCTGCTCTAGACTGACTGATAAACAAATATTTGAAACTATATTGCAATGAATAGTCAGACAGCTAGAAAGACCTCTTTAGCTGTCTGAATAATAAACACATTCATACCCTGGAGATAAAAAGCATCAAGCCTGCCCTCTATTCACATAAGCATCCTCACAGAGAGGATGCAGACACAATTGTCCAATCTGTGTCAGCAGAAGGGACTTGCTTCCCTTTGATATGAATGAATCGTAATTAATTTTTCATCCAAATGGAAGGCACATGGTGCACAAGCTTTGCAGCCATGAGGGCAGAGAGATGGAGAGGGGAGGAGGGGAACGAGCTGCAGATGTCACAATGAGATTCACTGCATGCATGAATAAGGTCACGGTTTGAGAGGTATGCCTGCAGTTCCCTGCCTCTGTGCCAACAATCTCTGTTTAGCTGTAGACTGGGAAGCAGGGCGCATCTATCGTCATCACACTGTTTCACAAATCCTCCCCAAATACACATTTCATTTGTCATCCTCATATATAGCTGGGCTGTTGATAAACGGCGTGCCGCCCTCATATCTTATCCCTTCATAGAGACAGAGCACTTTATGGAATTGGTTGCAGCTCAGAAGGTGTATAAGCCTGTAGCTACAGCAGCAGTGTTATGCAAGGAATGAATAAATCCTTAATTTTTCATATTATATAGATATATTATAATAATTTTCATCAAATAAGACACTTAATGTGATCAGAAAGCTGATTCAATGTGGCTCTGTTGGTTTAATCTTTCATTGTTTTACTATAACTGACAATTTGAACAATTGCACAGTAGTTGTAATACTGGCCTTTCAAAACATCAATGCAAGTTATGTTACATAATAAATTTACTGACTCAAAGCAGGGACTCTCAGCTTTAATTAAACTGCTTTCACATCCCAGCTAAAAGAGGATGCAGCTCTTCAGGGAAGCTGAGCCCTATTTTTCTAGGATTGAAATGTGACCGTGCTACTCACTGAGAGTAACCTCACTCATGCTGAAGAGTGGCTCTATATATCTTAAGTTATTTCTTCTAATAAAATGGTGGGATTAGATTGCAAAGTCTTGATTTAATCCTTTGGGGGAAAAAAGTAACATCATGACTCCTCAAGACACAAATCAAATAGTTATGGAATCAGTTTTAACCATGAAAACAGGCCAATACTTTATTATGTTTTGAGTAAAATGATAATGTTATTTTTCTTAAGGAGAGTAAGGTTGTTGTTTTTTTTCCCCAGTGTTGAAAAAAAAAGATTTCGTTTAAAAAACAAACAAACAATATCTTCATGTTGATCATTTCAAATCATTTTAAAGGGTTGCCAGAGGAAGTTTTAGAGTGACTGAATTTTCAGTTTGCGATCAAAAGTGCTCTGCCTCCCCCACCTGTTGCTGTTTACTGCCACACAGCTGGCTGAATGTTCCTACTTAGTTTATTACCGTAGTTGAATATGCTTACATGCCAACTAAACAGGATTAGGCAATTATGTTTTTCACACAACAGATCAAAGCACATGTGTACAAATAGATTTTAGCACCTTTATCATATTTCTTTCTTTAAAAAACAAGCAATTTTTCTGTTGAACTGCATAGAATATATCTTTCAAACCTGTATGTCAAATAAGATTGTCTTTATTTATCTTTTAATATCACAAAAACATTATTTTTTAACAGGGGTATAGTTAGTTTTTTTTAATTATAATTGTTAGTCCCTACCACAGTTAAGACAAAAAAAAACCTAAAACACACGAATAGGTAATAAAAAAACAGAAAACAAACAAAAAAAAAACATGAGAACAAGTTTATCCTTATAATGATTCTAAAGAAATTATGAGCAGATAAAAAAACAATTTACATTTCTTTCATGAAGTCAACACATCTATTCATTGTAATGTAATGTCATTAATGATTTATTTATGTATTAATTAAGTTTCATTTGAAAACCTTTCATGATCACCAGTGAGTTATTCCAGCAGGCATCGTGTTTTCATATGAAATGACTCTGTATAAAGTTTGTCTGATGGCATTAGGTCTGGGCTGGTGTAGAGAAACAAAACCAATTTGTACACCTTTAAAGGCCATTGTATTTATCACTACAGTCAAAAAAAATAAATGAACCCAAACAAAACAAGTTATTCAGTAAGCATTTTCAAACTTAACCCAGCTGACTTCTATAATGGTAAGCTAATAACAGCGAAGTAGCATGTTTACTTTAGAAAATTGTTTGGTAGGCTATAGGGTAAATAAATCCATGTAACATTCTATGACATCCTTTCTTGCTTGTGATCTAACGGCCGCAATCTGTTTTTTGTTTTTTTCCCCCCATGGTTCACATAATTGATCTGCTTCCTGGAATTATTCATATTTACCAACAGACACTCCTAACCACAGAGGATCAAGCTTTACAGTACATTTAAAAACTGTATGGTTAAAGTGTTGGTACATGGAGCACTTGATGTTTCCTAAGGTATTTGAGAAGCATTACTGATTAGAATAATGTTTCTTTATTTAGGTCTGCTTCTGTTTCCTTGAACCCTGTCGACCTCTGCAGATGGCCGCTCACACTGAGCCTTGTTCGGCTGGAGGTTTCTTCTTGTTAAAAGAGATTTTTCCTCTTCACTGTCGCTACATGCATGCTTGGTTTGAGGGATTGCTGTTGAGACAATAAATGGATACAATCAGCTGGTTTTCCTTAGACTGAAAACTTTGATCCAATCTGACAGTATGATCTGGTTGAATTGTGTCTGTCAAGTGCCTTCAGATGACATGTTTATAATTGGCATTATAAAGATAAACTGAATTAAGCAATGCATATTAGAAAAGTACTTTGCTGTATAACATTATAAATCCAAATCATTTTTAAGGTTCATCCATAGTTTTAAACTCTCTGGACATTATTGTCTCTTTCCTCAGTTTGTCCATCTGGGATTTTGGACGTATACTACAGAGTAATACGCCCATTGAAGAAATAGGTGGTTTTATTTCACGAGAGCCCGCCCACTTTGCCTTATATGGTGATGGTCGGATCGTTGATTGACAGCGGGCAGCAGCTGCTGAGTTGCTCAGACATGGCGGAGGGTACAGTGTAACTGAGGACCAACGGCAGCGTAAAGTGAGTTTTCCAAGCAGTTAAGTTGGCGAGGGGAGCATGAAATGACCCAGAAGGAGAGGAAAATGTGTTCAGCCGACGAGTACGTGGAGGGGAAGCAAAAAACGAGCGGAACCGCTCCATGTTAGGAAGATGGAAACATGTATCGCTGTTTAGTGCAGTCAACAGCCTTGGGCAACAAATATGGCTTCTTGTGCCTTTTTCAATATGTTATAAAATCCGATTTCCCTTGCAACCTAATGCCGCGGTGGTTCCGGCGAACTTCTGCGAGCAGCGGTAAGTTCAGTTCTGGAATCGTTCGGTTCTTCTGATCGGTGAAGATCCGCTCGGCCGTCTGGGGTTAGCTGGGGAAGCTACGGAACTACAGCAGATAGCTATGGAGCCAAAGCACAAAGAGTTGCTAGACCAGTGCCACCAGAACTTACTGGAGTCCATAACAGATGCGGACCGTGTGATCGAGCTGCTGATAGTTTCGGGTACTTTGAGTCAACTGGACAGGTTTGAACTGGAGCAGAACTGCGCGTCCAGCGCCGAGAAAGTCGATCATCTCCTGAAGATGCTGATGAACAAGGAGAGCGACCATTTCCTCGACCTGTGTGTGGCCCTGGAGAAGGCATACCCTGACCTGCACTCTGCCCTGTTCAGCAACAACGGCGGTGGACCCGTGGACCACTCCACTGGTGAGAATCAGGCAGCAACTTCTCATCAACTGAATTCAGAAATTAGCGATCCATGTCGCAGCAATAGCCCTTGAAATGGGAACAATCTGGGTTGCCTGGTGCAAGAAAACCCGCAAGACATAAATCCTGTTTTTTTATTATTATCATCCGCTCGAAATGATTAGAAATATGCATGGAAATGTTGCATATTCTGGTTGCAGCAGCATTGAAAACCTTGTTAAAGGTTAAACCCAAAATCCATGAGTTTTTTATTTAAACAGAGGCTTTCCTAAGAGGTTACTCCTTTGGAGGTCTATTTATTTGCCATTATCCACACCAAAAAACAAAAACAAAAAAACAACGTTGATTATTATTATTTTTTGGCAGGAGGGACATAATAGTTTGTACAATATGTAGTCTGAGTTGTTTCCATGACAACGGCTGTGCTGCTGACATGTTAAGTCCATATCAAGCTGTGCAGGGCTGTGTGCATTCAGCAGAACCATGCAATGCTTGCAAATAGGCTATTTATCTGTTCTGATTAGGACATTTTATGTTTAGAATTGCCTTATTTGTTTTGGGTGTCCTTTTTTTCTAAGAAAGGGGGTTTATATTTAAGGGATTATTCATGCAGACAAGTCCATAAGTAAAAACAAGAATTGAAAATAAACCCTCACCTAAAAAAATATAAGGATTGAAAAATTAACACGGAAATTCAAATTGAAGTAATAAAAAGCTGAAATGATAAACATTAACTAATAAATCATTATATGACCTTTATGGAAAAGCTGATTTGCATAATAAGGTTGTTAGAACCATGCTTTTACAGGAGCCAAAAGCTTCTCCACCTATTTTCTGATAGCCGTACAGCTGAGAGGCCTAGAAACTCCAATCAGACTCTCCTTGTTCAGTTGAAGCCATGGAAATGTTGAGTAAACTAAAAAGGATCTTGATCATTCAGACCCGACACACAACTGTCAAAATTTCTCGGGCTGCAAGATCATATAGTGCCTCGATAAACCAATACCAAAATGTTGATTGTCATAAACCTAAAGCAATTGCAGTCAAATAAACTTGTTTCTTTTTTCATTTGTCAATGTTTGTTCAACATTTGTGAAATCGACCATGCAAACCTGTGTGGTATACATTTTTAAAGTTAAATTCAAGTAATTTTAGTACATAATCTATTGTTGGATATCATAATTAAACAAACATTAAAAGTAATCTTGTCTTTCTCATTAAAATACCGTCTGCAGCTTTAAGGACTCCTATAGCGTTTAAAGTAGACTGCAGGCTGCTTATTTTTAACTTTAGCCTTTTGTCTTATCAATCATATTTTAATCTATTTAATTTTGTAACAGCAAAACAAATTAAGAAACAAAAAAAAAGGCGGGGAACCCTGTTTTTTTCCTCAAACAAGATAGCTTTTGATTGGGAAACAATGAATCTGTGTTTTGATTTAAAGAAGACATCACCTGGAAATCTGATTTTTTTCATGTTAAAATGTATGTGTTGTTGGGCTTCAAGCAAAAGCTTCTGGAAAATCTGGAGTTGTGCTAACCTGCAAAACTCCATCATTCTCCTCTTGGTACTGACATTACATTAGCCTGCCTTGCCATCACTGCTCCCATTTCTATTCCACCAAAAGAGGTGATTCCCGCAATCAGGGATTCACTTGCAGGCACTTGGTTAGTGTTGCTGCCTTTGTAACTTTGTACCTGTGGTGTAGGAAACGGGGAAACAATGGAGAACAAACCGTGGCAAACTGCTACTGTTGCTGAAGTTACGTCCACGTGAACCAACATACACACAAGTCAACTTCTAGTTCGTACTCTCATGCAAAAAAAAAAAAGACGTGTGAAAAGTGACCCAAATTAGCTCTATGTAACTCTTTTTCCTAAAAATTTAGTCTACTTCAGAATGATAATTTAAATTAAATACCAGGCTGTGTTTATGAATGAATGTTACCCTCTTAGGAAAAGTAGGTTTGTCTAAAACACTATATTGCTTTGGCCTGTACTGATTGCAGTGATCACATTTACTTCTACTCCTCAAATACATACAGTATGTTGAGAGAAAGTTAAGGACCCCATTTAATCTGAGCTTCCAAGAGAATATGTGTATTGAATGAAATTGGTTTGAAAATAGAGCCTTGGGGGACCCCAAATGTGATTGATTGAGCAGGATGTAATTGGTGCTGATTTATATAAATATATAAATTATTCCTGGTCTGTCAAATCAGAACCAGTTTATCACTGACCAGTCCCACCCCTCTACTCCAGTCTATTATATTATAGTTATCGAATGCAACACTAAAATCCGATGAGGACATTTGGTTTGTTTCCTGTACTTTCTGCTACTGTCTTCACCTCAGTGATTTTGGTTGCTGTTACAGAATCGAAATCGCACCCAAGTGTAAAAACCAAGTCTAGTTTTTGCCTGCTTTGCTTTTGTCCCAATGACTAAGGCCAGTGAGTGGCTCTCTCATGACTTGGCGACATGCCTCCGGGGCTTTAAAGCAGAATAAGCTTTGAGATCCAAACGTTCTGAATGATGCAGACATATACAATGTTCTACAAAGAATACAACCTTGGTTGTGTGGAAAAAAACTAAATTTTCAAAGGATTTAATGGTTTATTCACGGCTGAAAAAACTAGCATTAGTCTACTGGTCACAAACCTTTGCAGCTTGTGCTGAGTTGGTTTCTTGTCACTCTGCTTACAGGATCACTAATGCTTCCTTAAGCTTTATTACTTCCTTGTATTGAGTGGAGCTGTTGCAGAATAACACTCAGCAGAGTAGATATGGGCCTTCCTTGACACGCACCTTTTTATTCATTAGCACAGGCCCTTGTTGGTGACATGATTTGAAGAAAGAAAGCACAAGTTGGGGGTCTGACTTGTCAGTCTGTGTGGCTATTCACAAGAGGATTATACCCGACTCTTCTTACTCTGGGATTAAACTTTCTCTGTGAGATGATTTTTAATGCATTTGCAGTCATCTGTATTGGTTGCTGTGTTTCTGGCTTACTCCTTTCACAGCTGTATTTTTTTTGAAAAAACAAAATGTTTGTCCTTTTGAGAGAGGGCATTCAAATGAATCTGTTTGACGTATTTTCGTAGGAGCCAGAAGACAAGCATCAATGGTGTACCCTCAGGCAGCAAAACTAGTAGAGAGGGATCATGGGGGATGAAATCCTGGGAGCGGCGGTGAGGCTGTGAAAAAAGGCAGGGTGGGAGAGGAGAGGGATTTTGAATGTGGTGTGTCTTGCTGATAGCAACCTGCTCTCAGCTTGTCCTCGTCTCATGCTGCCTGCCTGCTCTTGTTCTGTGCTTTACCTCCTATGCCAGCTAAGCCTCGTAAGACACGCACGAACACAATCATCCAAAGACACCTCGTTCTGCCAGAGGAAAATGGTGCAGGTGCTCACATTAATATAAAATGATACGAGCCCACAATCTGTAAATTATTAGCTGCAAAGATGGCAAACTGCTTTATATGTTTTCCCTGGAGGACATGCACTCATTATTTAGGGTTGTTTTCAAAGCTGTCTCCCCAAAACAATGAATCTTTGCTCTTGCAAAAGATTTGCTTTGCATATTGGGCAGAAATAATGCATTTTAACCCTGCTTTAAAAATGAGAAGGCAATCTTCCTGTTTTCAGTTTTATTTAAATGCATTTTTATAAATTCAAGCACTAGCATTTCAATTGCATTCTTTGCCTAGCTTTTGTGCTAATATCATTGTACTAGCTGGGCAAGCTTCATGTAATTGTGTCAGTTGAACTTTTTGACCTTTTGTAATTTTATTGGGAACTAAAATGTATTTGGGCCATTGCCATTTACCTAAGGCTACATCTACGCAAAGTCAAATAATGCAACATTTACACTACCCCTCTGAAACTGATCCGTGCCGAGTTCGGACTGAGCTTGGATCAGTTAACCATGCAGATCTTGGTTCCTTACGACCATTTATGCATCATACTAGCACGGTTCCTTGCCTTCTACCAGCGGGTCAACAATACTACAGCTCGCAAGGCGGGAATTACGCAGGGTGGTGTAAATGGGGCTTGAGTTATCTGCAGAGAAAAAGCTTAAAGCCCCATTTACACTACCTTTTTGAAACCGTGCTGAGATTGGTCCGAGCACGGGAATCGAGATAACTGTTGAGTGTAAATGGAAAACAACTGAACTGGACCGTGCCAGACACGACTTGACCGCGCTAGACTAGTACTAGTTCATCAGTAGGGCTCGGCGCTGTTCAGTTCTGGCTCGGTTCTCAGATGAAGAGCGCACAAAATGCTGCCTGACTCTCCGCAAGCTTCCTGAATGTTACAGGCACCATCTTGTTGATTTGCTTGTATCCCTCTAGAGAGCAGTAGTACGTAGATCGCCACTAGGTGCTGAGGAACCGTGCTAGCATGATGTGTAAACGGTCGTAAGAAACCAAACTTGGCTGGGTTAACTGATCCCAACTTGATCCAAACTCGGCACGGTTCTTAGGTTTTTAAGAGGGTATTGTAAATGGGTCTTAGGGGTAAAGATGAAACCACCTGAAGCCGACTCTAATAGGTGTTTTAATACTTATGACATGCCAGTTGGTAGAAGAAAGACGGGGGAATTAGGATGTAAACAATTAACGCAGAAGAGAATAAAAAGGCGTTTGTGTAGACCAAAGACAGAAGAGCAGCAAGAAGTGTGAAATCAAGGGCTGCAACTAACGATTATTTTGCAAATCAATTAATCTGTTGATTATTTTTTTGATTACTTGATTAATAATCAGATAGCAAAAGGTTCCATGAGGAAGACTTTTTACTAAATGAACCCAGGTGAAACTAAAACTTTTTTAGAGGCTCTACACTCTAATTAGTGGTCAAATGATTACTAAATTTGTTCACGATTATTTCAGTAATTGATTAAGCAAATTAATTCTTTCAGCCTTAGTGATATCCACAATACATTCAATAGCTTCTAAAAATAAAAGGTTTTAAAGCGGAAGGGCAATACCAAAGTCCGCTGATG